TAGTATCACTGTGTCCTCGACAGTGCAATTCGAACAGCGAAAAGCGGATCTCTTTCGAAACACTTTTTTGAGACGCTTTTTGGCAGCTCCGAAATAGAATGCAAATTACTTTGCTTCGAGTCATCCCCACCATGACATTTATACATTTTTTACTGGCAAATCTTCTGGCATTCTATCTGACATATCTTCTGGCATTCGATCTGGCATTCTATCTGGCATATCTTCTGGCATTCTACCTGGCATATGTTCTGGCATATCTTCTGGCATTCTATCTGGCATATCTTCTGGCATTCTACCTGGCATATCTTCTGGCATTCTATCTGGCATTCTATCTGGCATATCTTCGGGCACATCTTCTGACATCCTATCTGGCATTCTATCTGGCATATCTTCTGGCATTCTATCTGGCATTCTATCTGGCATATCTTCGGGCATATCTTCCGACATCCTATCTGGCATTCTATCTGGCATATCTTCTGACATCCTATCTGGCATTCTATCTGGCATATCTTCGGGCATTCTATCTGGCAAACATTTTGGCACTTTATCTGGCATACCTTCTGGCATTCTATCTGGCATATCTTCTGACATATCTTCTGGCATTTTATCTGGCATATCTTCTGGCATTCTATCTGGCATATCTTCTGGCATTCTACCTGGCATGTCTTCTGGCATATGTTCTGGCATATCTTCTGGCATATGTTCTGGCATTTCTTCTGGCATATCTTCTGACAATCTATCTGGCATTCTATCTGGCAAATCTTCTAGCGTTCTATCTGGCAAACATTCTGGCACTTCATCTGGCATATCTTCTGGCATTCTATCTGACATTCTATCTGGCATCTGGCCGTTGAGGTCCAGCGGTGCCCACTAAGCTCGGAAGGTCCCTGGTTGAGGTCCAGCGGTGCCCGCTGCGCTCGGAACCTTGCGGTTGAGGTCCAGCCGTGCCCACTCAGATCGGCAGCCGGCAGTTGAGGTCCAGCAGTGCGCGCGGAAGTTGGCCGAAGAAATTGGCGACGAGTTGGCAAGGCGGAAGTGGACGCGGAAGTTGATGCAGACATGGTCGAGGAGAAACTGGAGGAGGAGGAGGAAGAGGAGGAGGCGGAGGCGGAGGAGGAGAAGGATGAGGAGAACAGCTCTGATAAAATCTAACAACCCTCACCTGGCAGGTGGGGAAAAAAGTGCAACTTCAGAATAGACTGCAAAGGTACATTCCCCAAAAAGAGCACCACTATCCCCACTCCAAGGTCACAACTCTGCTGAAACTTGATCTCGTATGTGCCCTGTAATGTGAAGAAGCTCCTGGGAACTTGCTCCAAGGTCACACCAAAATTATCACACCTCTAAGAGCATCGTCCAACCTGCTCAAAATGAGTCATCAAGATCTAATGATGATCTAAAGATGATCAAATGATGATATATTGTCTGAATACGTTTGAATCATTTTAAATGGACGCTACGGTGATCACTAGTGCTTTGCTAATTCTTTGGTGCATTATTGAGTGCACACACTAGACAAGATTGGATCTTTGAATAGATCCATCAGGAACTGAGTCCTGTAACGTGCAACCAGCCTAGACAATTAGACCTAAAGTAGATCTCGTGGTTGTACTTCATGAATATAATGATGGTCTTCCGAAAATATCCAACGTAGAGCAAACCAGACTCCAATAACCTGCAATTAAATCGTCATCCAACATAGATTGCGGCAACAGTGCAGTGATAATGTAAAAAAAACCTACCTGGAGGTTCTTGGGTTGAGCCTCTTCCCATCACAGAAAAAGAATGTGCAGGTACGTCGATGAGCGTCCCCATCAATATCACAGATGACACACTGGCGTCTTCGTTGGTGCCAGTCCAGTGTGCATCCCTGGCACCGGACAAACAGGGATTTCAAGCTTCCCTGCGAATGAATAAACAAAGAAACAGAAGTTTTACATCTGTACAGATGTGTCACACACACACACCCTGCCGAAGCAGGGTTTCTTTTCCGGAAGAGGCAAATATCGCTGATCTATGGTACAGAAAGCGGAATCGAGAAATTGAATTGAAAGTGCAATTGACATCAATCAATATCCTCTAGGGACGTGCTTTGTGACGTCGTGAGGATTTGGAGAACCTCAGAAAAAGTCGTTCGTTGCTCCATGGTCAAGTGCTCCGATAGGTCGCCATATGCCAAAGGTGAAGACAAAAGTCCTTGTAACTCTGTGGCAAGGACAGCAATGGTCGGCCGCGGCGTCTGGGTAATGGCCGGTTCCATGTCCGGTGGGAAGTAGTCCTCAAATGGGTTGATTCCATGTCGCATAGGAACTCCAAAGTAGTTGCGCCAGTAGTCCGAAGTGTGCTGGGACCATTCCCATTGTCCCGTCATGGCGAAGAAAAAATGTTCGGAATCTCTGGTCCTTGAAATTCCTGTTGCTGGTATCTCCATGACAAAGAGTTCTTGTGTGTTGTTGGAGTGGGTAAAGACCTTGAAATGAATCTGGTGGACCAATCGTTCGCTGAATCGACCTTGGTGAGGAGGAGCAAAATGTCGATGTTCGGAGGTTGGGAACGGAGTCATAGAATGAGTTCCTGTTGGAGGTGAGTACATTCCTAAATTTGTCGACGGAGCGTCCACTGCCGAAGAAGATCCCAAAGTGGTAGAAGCCGACGTGTTTTCCGGTGGCAGTGGGTTCAAAGGTGCTGTCGACGAAGATGCGTCAGGAGGCAAGGGGTACTTGGTGGTACATTGCTTCTAGGCCACGTCAATCCGGCTGCATCAGCGTCGCGTTTGTGCTCCATCTGCGTGGGGGTTCAGGACCCAAAAGGCACGTCACCGTAGAAAAGGCTGGCGGGAAATAAAGTGAGCCACGAGGAAAGGCAAAAATAAATGCACATGTGGTATTCACCATGCCTGAACCTATCAGGAAAACGTAACCATAAGTGGATCCATACTGCTTCGAGAACGGGAAGGCTTGGAAAATTCCGCGAAGAAATCAGAATAGATCTTTTTGTAGTCAGCGCATCAATGGAAGAAAGGTAATGAATCAATCTATGGGAGAATGACACCCTGTCTTGCCATGGGGCCCCAACACGCTGTTTCTATTCGGCTTCATTAGGCTTCGAAACTGCCCCGTGGCACGTTTTGGGCACCCTTTAAAACCCTAAAACGCTCCGCAGCAGCTTTCCTCGCGCCTGCTTTCCACAAGCTGTTTCTATTGGACTTCCAAACTGCTACGTGCCACGTTCTAACCACCCCTTAAAACCCTAAAACGCTCCGCACCAGCTTTCCAAGGCTTCGCGCCTGCTTTGCCATGGTACCTCCCTAGGCTCACAAGCTGTTTCTATGCCATGGCGCCTCCCTAGGCCCCACAAGCTGTTTCTATTGGGCTTCGAAACTGCCCCGTGGCACGTTTTGGGCGCCCCTTAAAAGCTTAAAAAGCTCCACAGCAGCTTTCCAAGGCTTCGCGCCTGCTTTGCCATGGTACCTCCCTAGGCCCCACAAGCTGTTTCTATGCCATGGTACCCCCCTAGACCCCACAGTTTCTATTGGGCTTCGAAACTGCCCCGTGGCGCATTTTGGGCACCCCTTAAAGGCCTAAAACGCTCCGCAGCAGCTTTCCAAGGCTTCGCGCCTGCTTTGCCATGGCACGTTTTGGGCACCCCTTAATACCCTAAAACGCTCCGCAGCAGCTTTCCAAGGCTTCGCGCCTGCTTTGCCATGGTACCTCCCTAGGGGGGTTGGCGGCACCAGGGCGTTAGCCCATTTATAATATAGAATATATATATATATATATATATTTACAGTATATTTTTTTAATCTATTCGCTGTCTCTCTTTGAGCTTCGGGCTGCAAATGGATTTTCAACTCTCTGCTTGTACAATCCATCAATGAACCTGGCTCCGAGCCAAAAGAGGTGCTGCCAGCTGATCCATGGTGAAACTCTTCTACCATGGGTGTGTAATCCTACGCCATGATTCATCCATCCATTTCTCAGTCAGTAATGAGTCGCTGGCTTCCCTTAGCAGCAACGGTCCCAGTGCTTGCATCTGCAACTCCGGCCTCCCGCTTTCAGAACCACCACTTGTTTCTGAGCCCAAAGGTACTTCAGAAAAACTTGCACAATCACATGCATGCCAAGTTTGCTGCACAAAGTGTTTCTGTTGCTGAAGACCCTTGTTGGAATCAAGCGATTGTCGAGTTTTAGCGGCAATCTGGTGGCTATCAGAAAAAACGCGACCTCGGCAACGCATTAGCCTCGGCAAAGCATTACGCGTGTCATGCTGTCGCAAACTGCAGGATAAAATCCCACAAGTCCTACAAACAGCATGACGCAACTCTAGCTACTGCTTGTGGTGAGGGGCTGTAAGCAATACGTTGAGAACGCAAAGCGCCGCCACAACACAGAGTCTCTGTACAATTTCAACAATGCCGGACGCAGGCGAAGCTTACCATTCCATTTTCCATTCTACGCAGGCCTGAAGGGTTCTTATTGGTTCTTCCTGGTCCTGTCAAATGACAACTTTCTCACACACGGACCCCCTGCGTGCCATGGTGCAACAATTTGGATTGAAACCGTTCTCCCAATTTCAAGCTCAAGAAATCGATTTATCATGCTGTCCATCCACGATTCCATAACTCCTTCAAGCCAGGTTCAGGTGCTGCATGAGTTTAAAACTCACATCAGTGACTTGGTTTCACATCAGTGAACCAAGTTAGGCCAACGAGAAGATCAGCACAACAAAAAACGGGCAATCTCAAATTTCAATCATTGCATTGGATTTTGAAAGAATGGAAGCCCTGACTGGCATTTGTGTGCGGATCCACATGTACAAAAAGGATCAAAAAGGCTGGGGCGATTCCAACCCTTTGAAATAACAGGCCATTCCTGCTTGCATAGGCCTGGCTTGACATCGCAAAGCGGCAACAATTCCGAATTTTTCCAACAATCTGGCTAGACAAAACTATAAACAATATAAATATTAAATATCTTCCCTGTAGGATTAGTATGGAGTAGCCTGGGTTTCAGTTGCCTCTCTTGCGAGGGTTGACCGGCTGAGCCGAATTCATGTCCCCACAAGGAGCTGATTCCAGCGCCGCTTCGGATGGAGCTGCTGGAATGCATGTCAAAAAGGTGCGGTCCACTGTCAAGATGAGGTCCACATCTTCTTTCCAGGCAGGGACCTGCTTCCGCTGGTGCTTTGGCAATCCGGTTTCGTTTCGAATTTTCGGCCTGGATCGACAGGGCAACGTCTGAAGCGCGGCAAGTATGCGGTCCTTGTCACCGTTCAGGGCAACGATGTGATGAGGCCGAAGATCCAATTGAGTTTCTTCTGCTTGCACTTGTGTCAAAGGCATCAACAGCACGGCACCATTTGCCCATGAAGGTGTGACTTCGCAGCCAGCTTCCGCCACATCCTGCCGACAATCTGCAAGGTGTTGTGAATGGAGCAACACATCTTTGACCTTGGCTCCAGTATGGGATAAGCTCAGCAGGACTGCGTGCCCAGCAACCTGCCCCTCATCCGGCTCACTGACTCGAGACGGCATCACCCCACTGGGCACTGGTTGACCTTCATCCTGTGAGACCTCTGAGTCCTCTGAGCTGGCGCACATGTCAAAGTCATCTTCAGACGATGATGATGAAGACATGCTTGGCATTGAGCATTCTGGCAGGATGTCTCCTGAAGCTTCTTGAACGGCTTCCTGACCAAGAGATTTCATGAAGGGCCGCATGATTTTCAGGCGGTCAAACTTTCCTGCGCCGGGAGAGCGCTTTGGTTTCACAACGTGCAGAAACATCTCTGGCGCGCCATCATCCATCACAACCCCGATGCCGATCATCTCCAACTTCTTGTATTTCAACCGCTCACCGTGCTTGCAGCCGCTAACAAGCAAACAAACTTCATCCCTGATGTCAAACATCGCCAAGCGGGTTCGTCCTCTGACACCAATGGGATAGCGGAAGCTGGGCTGGAGATTTTGGACGAACTCGGGGAGGCAAGCAGAAACAGGATCTTTGTATTCTTCGACTTTTCTTTTACCGATCACCGTACCAGCCATGCGGATAAAATCTTGGTGTTCAAATACACCGGCGCCTGGAGACCCATCTACATGCATCCAAAGACGGGAGGTTCCTGAGGTATCCGGTCTCACCCCAATCACCACCATGGTATGACCTCCGCATTTCACGAGATCACCATGCTTGAAGCCGCCAATTGGCATACACACCTCGTCTCTGATGTCAAAAAGCGCTGGGTGGCAACTCTTCTGCAAATAGCGAAAGGTGTAGTCAAACTCGAAATCACTATCAAGCTTTCCTTCCTGCTCACGTTCGAAGAGCCCAGAAAAGCCTTTCAACAATTTCTCCAACATGGACTTTTTATTTCCTCGGTTTTGAAAGACTGGGTCAGAAGGCGACACATCGTGAAGCTTTCTAGTTCCAACAAGCTTGAATTCTTTCCGAACAAGATGGTAGATCGAATAGACTCCAGCACCTTCGTTTCCATCGCATTTGAACCACAGCTTTGGAACGCCATCCTGATCAGGACGCACACCAACAACCACAGCATGATCACCGTCTTCATCTTCTATCACTTGCCCATGTCGAAAACCCCCAACCCCAAGACAAACGTCATCTCGAATGTCGAAGAGGCCTGGCTTCGGAAAGTGCGTGCCCATGGGGAAGCTAAATGTGAACTGGAGATCCTTGGTCAGCTCACGAACTTCAGGGGTCGGTTCTGGCTCATCCAGGAAGTCGTCTGGCGCCTCTTGGAGTGTTCGAGAGCCGGCCTTAGCTTCTACTTTAGCGGTTTTAGCGGATCAAACATGAGAAGAACGTAGCGGTTTTAGCGGATCAAACATGAGAAGAACGAAAACCAGCAAAAGCAGAGGGGGAGCAGGAGGGTGGGTGAGAAGTTGCAAAGCAATGTGAAGAAGAGGCGGCAAAAGTGAAATTGTTGGGCTGAAAAAATGCGCTCAGTGAAGAAACCTTCTCCAACTCTCCTCTTTCCTACTGTCTTCAATTTTGAATCCCATTTCACCTTAGCACCTATGTTACCAACCCAACCGGAACACGCCCCCCCGACCAAAAGTCTTGTCTATATTGACTATATTGACATTTTTAGCAACGGCTCCATTTTGGGACCCTTACGGGTACCAATTACTCCAGTCCTTCTCACCAAGAGTCCTTGCATCTTTCCTCGTTTGCCTCTTTTCTTTCCTGCTAGAGTTTGAACCTCCCTGCTCTCTTTGAACCTGAACCGCTCAAGCCTACCTCTCGTCCTCCCATTCTCCTCAATCTCGAATCTCATTTCGTTTCTTGCACCCCACCAGCCGAACCAAAACACACCTTCCCGAAGCGCGCGACGAAAACCTCTTCCATTCTTACCTCCAGCAAAGGTGGATCACAGCTCCATCTCTGCATGCGCATTGAAAATCCATCCTCTTCAGCTTACTCAAAAGGGGAAAATAAAACACCCAACGTCACTGCACTAAATTGCTCCATACATGAGCCCCGAAAAATGAAGACCCATAGACTCACGTCGGTGAGAAATCTTACCAAAAAAGGCCTAGACTCCCCTAAACCTGGACAGGTCACACATGGTCAAACTGAGCCTCACACCACTTGAAGTTGCAGCGTATCAAGACTTGCAAAGGTTCCAGCTCCCGGCTTTCCGTCCCAGTGGAAGAACAGCTTGGGAACGTCATCTATCAGGCGCACGCCAATGACAACACCAAGCTTTGTGGTTGTCGTCACTCCTGGATGGGTGACCACTTGACCATGCTTGAAGCCGCCAACCTTCAGGCAAATTGAATCTCTGATGTCAAAGCGCTCAAGTTTTGCTGCTCTATAGCTATTTGCAGCATTCAGGTACTGAAAAGTGGGAGACACTTCTTTGCTCAGAGAATACAACTCAAGGTTGTCAATCGGCCTTTCCTTCGTGAGCTCCCGGACCTTTTGGCGCCCAACGACTTTGAGCTTTCGGGTGTCAAGGCCGTCAAAGATCCCAGCACCTGCTGAGCCATCAACGTGGTAAAACAGCTTGGGTCGGTCCAGCTCTTCGTCGAGCGGGGCAACTCCAATGGTGACAGCTTGTTTCCCTGAAGTTTGAACTCGCTGTCCATGTTTGTGACCACCAAGTGCTTCACAGACTTCTTCACGAATGTCAAAGTACTCCAGGTGTGGACCCTTTACTCCGCAAGCATAAGCAAAAGTTCGGCGCAAGTGCCAGTTGCGAAGTGCAGAACCACCTTTGGCCAGTGCTTCCAAGCACTCAACCTCATGTTTAAATGGATCTGCGCACTGCAGGTCATGTTTGCCGTCAAATCCAAATCTGTACTTGTTGGTCCTTCCGCTATTCCAGCGCACGGTCGCCCACCCAGTCTCCTTGTCAAACTCAAGGATATGCCCAAGACAGCGAGCCCCACCATCTTGTTCCCCCCACATCCAGCCAGGTCCTCTTTGGACCGCTTTCACATCCTCGACATTCGAAGTGGTCACCAGACTTCCTGGCCTGGGCAGCGCTGTGAGGTTAGATACCTTCACCGCCTTCACGGTGCCATCAACGAGTTGGACTTCATAGCGGTCAGCATCTTTGGGCCATTTTACCTTGCAGAACTGTCCGTTTAACTGCTGAGCATCCTTGAGGCCGTTGATCACTGCAAGGTCCCCTTCCTTCAGAATGGCTTGTTTGGCTGCGGGTTCCTGATCCTTGGAAGGCAACCAATCCCACTCCTGGTTTCCAACAGGTGAGCTATCCTGCGTATCCTGATTGATTGCAGTTCCTGAATCATTTCACGCGCACACACACAAACACAAACACACACTTCTCTCGTTGCCAAGTGTCTTGTAGTTTTCTCAAATTCTTTGCCTCAGCTGGCCAAAGCAGCGAAATCAAAAGGCAAGCGACCATCACGACAAAGGTGGCACTGGAATTTGGGATTCATCAGGACTGAGGCGTCCAATCAACAAACCGATACAAACAAGACGCCAACGATATGAAGTCAGGAATAGGACTTGCTGTGGCTAAAGGATGCTCAACGAATGCTCTACAACTTGAGAAGATCAATCACCTCTCCAGCAAAAAGAAGCTAGCACAGTACCCAACTCCAACCAGACTTGGTCCAACAAGAATATCTATTGCAATTGGAGGCCATGACCCTGCAAACTCACATTTCCAGATGAACAGCGCCCCACTGGGCAGAAAAAACGAGTCGCATGGATCAACTTCCTGGAGCCATTCGCAAACTCGACCACATAGCGTCCTTTCTCGGCCTGACAAACTTCGCAGCTGTAAAGGGCAGAAGTTCCGGCAGAAGGCAGAAATGACAAACATCTCCGTTGGGAAGATCACTGGGAAGATCACTGGTTGGCAGCACGTGGAAAATTTATGAAAATTTGCCCCGCAAGATGAAAAATGGGACCTGCCCGCATACTTAGTGATCCTACGGCCAAGCGTCCACTAGCCTGGAACTCGTCGATGATTCCATGGGCACCTTTAAGACAACTCTAAGAATGCCACCGACTGAAAGGTTACGGGCATGCTGGGACATGTTGGCTACCAAAACGGACCCATTCAGCACAAAGAGAATGAAGTGCTTATAGCAGCTTAAAGGCCAAGCTACCGTTGAGGGATGGTGTGCCCACCAAATTTTGAACAACGACCCAAGATCGAAGCGAAAGTTCCTCAAGTTCTTCATCCTCCTGTCAGCCAAGCACTGCCAGATCCCTGCTACAGGTCTGCAGGAAGTTGCAAGTTTCCAATGGATCCACACATATGCAAGTTCTGGATACTGATACTGGGAGGGTTCCTACCATTGGATTGGCCGGCATTGGCCGCCACAAGTCAGCTGGACCTGGATCAAGGTCTCAACATGTCTTAACAACGTTGGTGAACCCTGTGCCCTTCTTGCCTTGTCTGACAAATGTTCTTGAACCACATCTGCTCCAGGTCTTCCTGAAGATGCGCTCGGTGGGCTGTAAGACATGCCACACTCACTGCCAGAGCAGGTTGGCAAAGTCGGCGATGAACGCGCGAAGACTGAAAGGCGCTCCACTTCCATAATTGCCTCGTGGCGAATCTAGATATCATGATGATCATGATGAGTCATCCAATGCGTGTTCGCTGGCACAAATTTCGAATTCCTATGAAGAAAAGAACGTGCACTGCACATGCACAGAAGCGCTCGTCGACTGACAGAGCAAGCTTGCCCATAGAAAGTCTTCAGGACGTCTCAACAGGGACAAAACTGGCTATGGGAAGCCGAGTAGCTGCACTCCTTTCAGTTTCAGGCAAATCTTCGTTCACCACTGCTTCAGAATCGACGAAATAACCTGAACTGCTTTCTGACCAAGCGAGCTTTTTGCTTCTGGTACAACTCGTGTCTCGCTCCAGCCATCTTCACTTGTTAATTTCAGGATGTTTCAGCGTGATCAAACATGTGTGCTCCTTACTTGTCACAATTAAAGGCTGCCTGCTACACCATCCAAACCTGACCAACTGTCACTCTAGCTTGACTCAAATTGCAAAAACACATTTTGCGGGCGAAACTTGGAAGATTTCCAGGTAGCTTGGGAAGGGCTCGCCCTGTGGAATCCGCTCCTGAAACGATGATCGGCGCTGCTCTTGTATGCCTTTTTCGGGATTTGACATGATTTGACCTTTCAACAGGCGCGAGAAAAAGAAGCATCTCCTCCAAACAGCTGGGAAACTGTGCGGCCAACAGCGAACTAAACTCCTGCCAGCGAAGCGGCATTGAACGAGTCACATGTGTGATGGCTTCCAAAACTCCAAACAATCTGTAGATTTTGGTGGAAATCAGGCTGTATCGGTGGAACTAGAAATTGCAGCCTTTCTCCTGGGACTCCGGAAATGACTACATGTGTTGCATGCGCTGGGGATTCAGACATGCAGCCAACTCCTCGCGCATCATATCACGGGTCTTGTTCCCGCGTCTCCGAGCAGATCGCGGGTCTGTGTAGTACCGCGTGAAGACCAACACCACATGCCTCTGAATCCGGTCATTGCCAGTCAAAGGACAAGCTGATGTTCCGCTTCTAGACTCTACCATCTTCCAAGTCTCCAAACATGCAGGATGAATGATTTTATCAACCCTTCTAGCATCAGCCTTGCTGACTTGTCGTGCATGTGCATGTATATCTAAAGAAGCAATCACAGGCAACAGAGAAACAACGCGGATGATCGCACGATTCGGTGGAGCTAGCAAAGGACACTGCATATGTCTTACTGTAACTTCCAAGTGAAGTCCCATGGGTTGCCATATCACTCCAGTCTTGATTCCCCTTCTTTGATTGGGGCATATTGGGGCGATATGGGCGATTTATGTGTGATAAAGAAGAACGGAAATAGCTTTGGATTAAATTCCTAGCAAAGATACGGGTGCCAAACCCATCTAGAAAGCGGCCCAAGTAAAGGAGAATTGAATGCAGAGCCAATTCCTCACAATGGTAAGACTTATATAACTCCAAAGGTTGGAAATCTTGTGTGTGTGAGACTCTGGAAAATATAAAATCCAACATTTAAGGAACCCTTATTGGGTGGCTAGTGCTTCAGGACTAATTAATCCTTTTTACAATGGCTGCGCCTCATTTGTCTCCAATTACCCATGGCCCATGGCCTCCAAAATCGTTTGCCAAAGCATTCCTCCATGAGGCGCAGCAGGTTCTCCAGCACGCTTCCAATCCGTGGCTGCTCCGCATTCAAAACCACAACGAAGACATTGACGTGTTGCAAGTCTCTGATGATGCGCACCACATTGGCCAATCTTGCTGCGTCGCAGTCACCATCTCCGACCCCAGGGGGATCCAGCAGCACCAATTCTTCTTCAGCTGCTCGCCCAAACCACCGGGCACGGTGGCATGTAGCTTCCAGAGTCACTGCTCGCGCTGAATCTCCAACCTGGAAAATGGGATTTTGCAGCTGCAGTCCTGCTAAAGCAGAGGCAAGCAAACTTTTCCCAACACCTACTGGCCCCAAAAGCACAACCACTGGCACCCCTTGCGGGGGAGAAGGATGGGTTGCCATGGGAGCGTTTCGATGGGAAGGAGCTCGAATTTGTGGCTGACTTGGCTGACTTGAACAGGGAAGGAATCGGAAGGATCCTTAGGCAAGACATGGCAAGACTGCATGGAGACAGAACAACACCATAAGAAAATGTAAGAGACATGTATTCACACTGCAAAGGAAAATATCAAATCTAAGAGGTTGTCGCTCTTACGAGCGCAGGTCAAATAAACAGTGTCATGGCATGTTCTTCCAATGGTGCCTTGACCAGAGGGTCGAAATGAACGAAGCTTTGTGCGTGAGTTCACCAAGTGAAGGCTATGTGCAAGTCGTGAACTGTCCACTCTGGATTTTTTCTCAGTCAAAATACTAAAAGAAGGAAGAGCCCTTTGGCCCAGACAAAAATCTTAGCTTTGAAGCTATGTGAAAATTAAAACGCATCAACATCTTAGCAAACTTGAACCCTGAGCAATTGCAAAGGGTCAAGGAAAGACATAAGATAAATTAAGCACATGTGGCTCCAGCAGCCGTTTTAGGCATCAATCGTTCTTCAACTGATGCAAGTGGTCACCTCACGGGTTGTGGCGCCAAAATTGCATCATCCTCTTCTGTTTGCTGGTACGTCTGAAGCATGGAAACCCACAGCATGTCAATGGCTGACGAAATTGAACCATTGAGATATACTGATATACTGTCTCTGTTTGAGTTTGGGGCCTGAAAATGGATTGGCACATCTCTGTTGGTGCAATCGATCAATGATCCTGGCTCCAAACAAAAAGAAGTTCGGGACAAAGCTACGAATCACTCATAGCAGCTCTCATTGCAAAAAATGTCTTTCAGCTCGCCTGGCCTACACCCCAGCCCTTCCAGTCTGAAGATTCTGGAGCACACCAATAGTTCAATCATGTTCCTTAGCTCTTCAATTCTGGCCAGGCTTTAGATGCGGTTTCTACATACAATACCTTGGTGCCTGCTTGCAAACTTTGGGCATTGTGGGCTGTTTAGAGCTTTAAACACCTGAAGGAGAGGGAGGAGACAGAGAAAACGATTTCGTTCAGCAGTTCAGCATGAGAGCAAAATTCCCTTCCACCAGGCTTCTGGGTCGACGCATATTCACCTGCGCGGGTGCCGTTGGGATTGATGGCCCAAGAATGCTCCTCAACTTCAAACAGGCTTTGAAGTGCATCCAAACAAGACTTGGTTTTATCTCCAAATCTCCAAGAATTCTGCATGGGAAGACTTGGCTGGCACAAAAACTGTGTGAACGTCTATGTGCATGCCCTCCCCAAGTCCTGCATGTAAAGTGCAAACTTGCCTCATTTGTGTGGCTACATGAAACTCATGCAACCCTGAAACACTGCAAGTAGTGGTGCTTGTGCATTTTGGTACTCCTGTTCTGGGAAGCATTTCAAGTTTCTGGAGTATCCTCATTTCATTCATGGCATCAAGCCAACAAGTGCACCAATTGTTTGTCAGTTGAGAAGTCATAGTGAGTATCTTGAACCACTGCATAGCCAAGATTTCAAACTGAAGAGTCAGGCAGCTCACACAGCCAGGCTGCTGGAGCAGTTGCGAATGCTCAATTGGGTTGGGAAGAAGTCACAACCGTAACCTCAGAATTGAAATGGCGAAAACAGACTATGCCATCAGTGGCTGTCTCTTTACACTTGCGAATGTCCTCTTAGTAATGAGCACACAGCGATGATCATCCCACTTAGAAAGCGGTCGGTCACCCATCAATGAAGCAATAAGACCAAAGTACGCGGTTTATCTTATCAGGGTTGAACGATGTATCCACTTTTCCTCGGATGATCACCCAGGCCACTTATATCTTCAAGCAACGCAAGGTTTTCTGAGAGGGGCAGGTTGCTACGGAAAATCGAAGCTCTGCAGCTGCGTCAGAACACCTAAAGGACCAAATACCGGGGGAGACATGGATGACATGGGGAGATTCAAACAAGTTGGGACTGAGATGTCTGTTGAACACTGTTGACTTTGCCGTTGATTCTGCAATGATAAACTCAGGGGCTGCCGGGCTGCCACTCTCATGCCTGTATCATCTGACAATATCCTCCTGTTGGCTGACCACTCCATCAGAAGCTTCGAAAAATGGCAATGACTGCAAGTGGCCCAGCACAGGCAAGGCACGCATATCTGCCAGAGGGGTCCAAGGCTTCATACCTGCGAGGCGCTCAAAATAGGTTTAGAATGTGTTAAATCCTTGAAATCTACGCTTTTGCCTCTTCTATTTTTTTTGCAAACCCATACTGTTCCGAATCAAGCACACTCTTCAGACAGCAATGCGGTATGTGTTTTGGAACATGGACCTGCCTGCTAGACATGGAAAAGCCCGCCCAGGAGGCATAGTTCGGATGGCCATACATTGGGGTTCCTACCCCCGGCCAGTCTCCGTTTAACCATGGAGCTTCGGCTGTCACAGGCTGTTCCCATGGGCCGCTCAGGTAACGCCACGATATCCTGGAAACAACCCATGCAACCAGGGGGTCATGTGCACGGAAACCCTTACTGCGGCCGCTGTAGGAATTCAGGTTGCTACATCATCTAACAGAAAACAAACTCACATAGGCACATAAGTTCACCTTTTTGGATGTGAGTTGAGGCACGTGCACATAATCCTCTCTGATATGGGCCTTTAAAGTCCAGTGCGGCGTAGGTGAGGCACCTCATCCCAAGTCGTCCAAGTCGTCCAAGTCGTCCAAGTCGGTCAGGTTCCACCAATTCGGATTGGACCGTTGCTGGTGCAAACAATTCAACAACCAGCCGCAAAATGCCGTAAAGCTAAACGTCGCAATTCATCCATGTGATATAATAATTGTCTATATATCCTCTTGTTAATTTTCCTGGCCAGTGCTGGGCAACGGTCAGGTCAAGACATTCTCAAACTCATCGCATCTCACAGAAACCGATGCCTCTTTGAAGCCGGTCGCATGGATGATCACATCCCAATCTTGCAGAATGATGTCATTCTTGCAGTCGTTGATGAAGGTGAAGTTAAACACCTGAGTCAACAGGAAATCAATGCAGACTTGCTGAGACGTGCTGGTTTGGATGTTCCTAGTTTGGCTGTGCCGTTTCTAGTAAAACCATCTGAATCTGAATTCCTGACTTGGGAAGATCCAGCGGCAGCTCCAGGCTGGCACAGGAACGCCATGGCAATGTAGCCGAGTGACAAAATCATTGTGTTGTTCTGTTTTCAACCTTGAATGGAATCCACCATGTGGAATTTATGCAAGTGTTGGACACGCTATGTTGCAAGAAACTCTTTGATAGAGGCAACATCAGCAACAAATGTGGAAAAAAAAACGATTTGACAAATCCTGCATGAAAACAAGTTTTTCATCTTGAGCCTTCATTTTTTTTCGGTTTATGTCGGCTGACAGGAAACCCGGGATTTGAAGTGGCAACGGAACGTTGGCATACACTATACATTTTTTACATTTTTTTACATTGAATTTCATACATTTTACATGGTCTGGCAATGTGGTAACCCACCTTGACACACCTTCTAAAACATTGCTGCTCTAACACCAAATCCTGAAACCTTCATACTTGATTGTTTGCATCAAGTTTCCTACGTTGGTTGCACAGTGCAGCAGAGCACTGTGGAAATAATTCAAGGGTGGTTATAAGTTGGTCTATAGCACCCGTCAACTATATATACAGTAGATATCCGCCGACACCGGCAGACGGCAAGGGGGAGCGCGTCAGGGCAGAGAAATTGAGGAAGGATTTTTTTCTAGGGTTTCAGAAGCAACGTTAGGCAGTTTTCCCATTTATAAGGGTTTCAAGAACATGGGAAAAAGCACGCAAAAGGTAGACAATACTGATCTTGTAAGCAACTCTTTCTCTTCCCTCTTGTCCCAAAGCCACGGAAAGTGTCGCAAAGTTACAAGGTTGAAGGCTTCAAAGCTACAAGAAGCGCCACCAGCAGCCATCAGCAGCAGCAGGAGCCACCAGCAGCCACCAGCAGCCACCAGCAGCCACCAGCAGCAACAGCCAGCAGCAGCAACAGCAGCAACAGCAGCAGCAGGAACCTCAGCAGCAGCAGGAAGAAAAAGTAACTAAAATCATCACTTTCTAAGGGTTTCAGAAGTTGCGTTAGGCAGTTTTTGGCCGCAATTTTGATGCTTCTCCGTCCTTCACTGCCATGGTGTTTTCCCATTCTGGTGCTGTCTTTTGAGGCTTCAAGCTACAAGAAGCGCCACCAGCAGTCATCAGCAGCAGGAGTAGCCACCAGCAGCCACCAGCAGCCACCAGCAGCCGCAGCCAGCAGCAGCAGCAACAGCAGCAGCAGGAGCCTCAGCAGCAGCAAGAAGAAAAAGTAACTAAAAATCATCATTTTCTAGGGGTTTTAGAAGTTGCGTTAGGCAGTTTTTGGCCGCAATTTTGATGTTTCTCCGTCCTTCACTGCCATAGTGTTTTCCCATCCGGGGGCTGTCTTTTGAACAGAAGGAGGAGCAGCAGCAGCAGGAGCAGAAGCAGCAGCAGCAGCAGGAGGAAAAAGTAGTTTGCTTGAGCTGCTGTTTTTTCCTTTTTAATGCATCAAAGTCTTGGATGGCAACGATTTTGCGTGGACGGGCTCGATGCTTCGCCGCAGCCGAACTAGTCATGAAGAATCTGTCAAGAGATTCCCTGCGAAATTTGAAACTGATATCAGCTGCAAGCCAAATTTCTGTCAATAGATTTTGTTCTCCCGGATGTAGGCTCTTCTTGGAACCCAATGCGTCCCTTGGGCATGGCTCATGCCAGCAGCGTAACGCACAGGCAAGCGATAGGGCAGGCCAGGGAGCAAGCAGCAGGGAACCAGAGAGACGAAAGCACGAAGAGGAAGGGGCAATCCAGCCCGACGGAAGCGGGAGTATGCTTCGTCTGACAGTGGTTTCTGGTGAGTGCTGTCTGATACAGTTCTTTCCAAGTGACCGGCAATGTCTGGCACAAAATCGCTCCCTTTAGTCACACCATATTCTTCAAAAGTTGGGTTTATGTATTGTGGCTCTACTCCAAGAAATATCTCACTCCCTCCTTTTTCTTGAGTGATTACCCTTCCTATGAAAGTCAAACTACCCCCATCGCTCGGTGTAATCAACCCAGTTGTTTTGGTGGGAACAACGTTGTTCAAAGCTTTGGCAACTCGGTCCTCTGCCTCTTCTGTTGAACTTGCCAACAGAATGTCATCCACATACAGAATTGCCAAAGTGTGTCCAAGAAAAACTCCGTTCTCATCATGGATAGCTCCACCATATACACATGGTTCCAGTGAGTCATTCCACAAGCCAACACTCTCCACGGTGTCACTCCGTAACTCTAACCAGCATAATGAAGCGTCCCGGAGGCCGTTCAGTGCTTTGTCCAAGATCATAAACCCTGGTTCCCCACTGACTAGGCTTACCGACAACGGAAGTTTCAAAACGATCCTGGTGCCACCTCTAATTGGACTGTGCATGAATGCATGGCTGATATCCAAACTCCTAAGCCTGTAGCCTCGTTTGCAAGCAATTGCCAAAACCAAATGAACACTCTCAATTGAAGGAGTTGGTGAAGAAAACCCAAGAGACTTTGCACTGGATCCCCTATTGAAGTCCTTTGCAACAATACGACAACGAACCCTTGTTTCTCCTTTGTAGGCACAGACCCAACGTGATTGAATAACCCTGGTATTGGGGTGCCCCCTTTTTAAGGTCTTTCACTTGTGCTTCCCCAACAATTGCGCATCGAAATCCAATTTGTGGCAATATTTTGATTGCGTTATACAAGGAAATTTAATTGATTTTGAAATCGAAACAAATAGTTTGTTTATTAAGGGTTTCAATTTATTAATAGGTTTCCCTAATAATAAATACCACCCCAATACTAAAAACTACCTGCCGTGTTTATTAATAGGGGGAGGGGGGGTCGTTTAGTATTAGGAGGAAGGGATTAATTAGTAAGAATAGTAAGTCCCTTGTTGTTGTTTGACATGTTGTTTAATTGTCCATGTTTGAACATGTTCTTTAGATTTCTTTGGCATGAACATTGTAAACTAAAAGACACGGATCTGAGTAAGTATAGTAAATTCAACAGCTTTGGGGTTGAATATGCATCCAGGGCAGCAGAAATTGCATGGAATCTGGGCCAAAGCTACCTGAGGTTTTTATTATTTGGGGGAGGGGGGGTTAGTATTTTTTTTTTCCTCGAGTTTGGCCGATGTCGCGCTAAGGCTCGGTCCTTACATGAGCATAAGCTGTCGAAAAGACGTTTGTACAAGGACACAGTTGGTCCAAATGAGCAGGCAAATCGAAGTCAAAAGCAACAAAAAACACACAAAACCACCAAACCACGACGACCCGCAAATCCCCCAGCCAGACTTGCGTTTCGCCAGAGGAAACAGCAAAACAAACAACAACAAAACACACACACACCAAAAAAAAGGGACCGGAGCCCAAACAAAACACCCACAAAATCGATTTGCCAAGGGACACAGTGGCTTGACCACTGCATCACTCTCAAAAACTTGCGAAAAAATGAATTAAGAACCATGACATTCAAGCAGACATGAAGGCCTAGCCAGCTTGCCTGACTACTAGGCATAGATGTGCCAAACTGTACATGAACACGGGGCTACAACTTATGCCTCTCTCAGCGTCCTCTCAGATCAGCTTGTGCAGAAGGCCTCCATGGACAGAGTCGTCACCATATATCAACCGTGAGCAAGAAGCCGTGGTGGTCAAAGTGCCAGGTACCCTCCCCAGCAGGGGGGGCGGACGGTGATGGCGCACGGGAAGCTTCGCAGGCCAGTGAAAAACTTCCAAACTGCCATCGCAAATGTAGTGCAGACCCTAGTTTCATAGGGGATGAATGCAAACCTGCAAATTGATTGATCTCAGCCAGCGAAGCTCCTAGGCAATGCTCGCAAAGATGAGGGACATGCAATAAAATTGTCGTTGTGCAGTTAGTATGAAGCCAGACAAGGCGATGACTCCACACTCGGATAGCAAAAGAGAGCCGAAAGTTGGCATGACTGTACACGCTAGTTCCGCCAGACCAGTGCTATCTTCGGCAAAGTTGCTCTCATTGTTGCAGGTTCGCTGAACATGCGAACCACAGAACTGTTCAAGACATTTCAGGATGTCATCGTCCCTGAAAGACCTGCAGTGCATTGCAGTATGCACAGTAGACGATTGTAGTGAATCCAAATCCGTAACGCTACTCACCCACAGGATAGGCAGGCTGCAGAATCACCACATTCCGTCCACCAACTGACGAACCATGTAGGCAGTCTTGTGCTGCTCGCGGGCGCCCCAGGCTGTCCTACAGGGAGCACCACTGGATTGCTCCAGTGAGACTCACTGCAGCACAGTCTGGTCCATGGCTTCGGCCGGCTATCTACCGCCCCTCTCGGACAGATACAACCAACCATGCAGAGCAACCGGACAAAGGACACCCCGAAAAGACTTAGAAAAGACGAACGAATTCAAAACCAATCAAACGAAAAACCCCACCAAGAAGGATAGCTCAAGTCAAAAAGAGGGGCAAAGCAAAGACACGGGCCCTGGGGGGCGCCAAAACTAATTTGCCGTCCTGAGTAACCTTAGTGAAAACTGCTATGTCAGTGTCTCTCAAATCATAAACCTTAGTTAGCAACAAAGCAAACAAAACAAATCGACAAACTCTCACAATCCAATCTAAGCTCCAGACGCCCCACGCCTAAGTGAGGGCAGGGGAGGGTAACTCAAGCATAGGAGGGCACACCGAATTCAACACCGCGCGAAAAAACACACCAAGAGCAAAAACCAACCAAACCGGACAAAACACAAAAACCAAAGAAAAAGAGGGGGTGCCGGGATGGCAAAGGAGGAAAGGGGCGGAGATGGCCAAACCTACTGCATTAGAATAGCAATGGTGAAGCTTAGCGGAGACCAATGGGGGACCTGGATCATCATCCTGATGAATACCTCAGTGTGGTCAAACTGAGCATCCTAACAGCACATGCAACATGGTGGAGAGGGTAATAAAGACCCCACACAGGGCCAGAAGTCTTTGCTGCCATGAGACAAAATGAAGTAAGGACGACAAAGCACAACCACACTCCCAGCAGTAAAGCAGGGCAACTAAGCCGTCACAGCTGCAACCAGATACCTAGAGGGAGGTACCAGCGTAAAAACTGGGCCAGGGCGCCACACGGGACCACCCGCAGGGGGAGGGGAAGCAACATCAGGCAGGGAGGGGAGCCAACAACAGCCAAACAATAAGACAGAAACAGCGGGGCCCAACCATACACAGAAAGGAGCACAACAGAGACAGAGAAACACCAAAAGACGCACAGGCAGAAGCATCAGACAGGAGCACCAAGAGCCCAGTAGGGCGAAGCCCGAAAGGGATCGAAACACCGCACAAAGGACAAAGGACGGCAGAGAGAGCTTAACCCAATTTGGACCGCACAAGAAAAAGGACATGCAAAAAGGGGGGGCCACGAGGAACAGAACCCCACCTAGGCAAAAGGGCCTCCACACAACCGCAGCCAGTGGGAGCAAAAAGGAAGTGGCACCTAAATGAAGAAGGCAAAGCAACAAAGGCAAACGAACCGAAAGAGTGGGAGGAGGAGGAAGAAAAGGAGAATCGCTGCGTCTGACTCCGTGTGGTATATTCAAGGTAGTGTTGCTTGTCTGTTCGGAGAGTGTCATTCCAGCTGTTCCCAATCGCAAAGGAGACAGGGTTAGCCCTTTCTGTCTCTGCGGCAAGGAGCCGTAACTCATTGCATTTGGTCTGAAAAGCAACCAGGTCGGTATCTGGTGCTTTCCTACGCAGTTTTCTATCAGGGAAGACCCGCTCTTGCACATGTTGCCTCAGGATCGTTTCTGGCAAATAGTGGGCTGGTCGTTGGAAGAGCACTCTACTCGCTAACTTCGCGCGGTTGACTTCCCAATGAGTCAACATATGGCGATGCTGTATTTGCTGCTTGAGTTGTGCAGCATACTGTGGAAACTTTTGGTCGTTTATTTCCAACTCCACAATATGCAAAACACACAGCACAAGAGCTATGACCCAAACGTATCGCAAGTGCGCATACGAGAATGGCGTCGTATGTGTTGTAAAATAGAAAATTGTAAACGCACGTGTACATGTACGCGTGTGAATCCAACTCCGCGCCACATGTGGTGTAATGACAATCGGCGAAAATCAAATAGTCTCATTGCCGAAAAAAAGGGGAATTCGAAACTTGAAGTTTCAGAAATAAACAGATTGCACAACTGACAGTTGACGAATGGAAGATGCACAGCCTTTTTCATCCAGCAGATGGGGCATAGTCATCGCATCTCCGGCATCTCAGGCTCGGGGATAGGCAACAAAAGACAGGGTGGGAGACACCATGTGTTGGGTGGGACAAGTCTTTTGTCAGAATTTTTGGGACGACCCGCCCTCCCTACCCTTGAGTGAAAGCGCAACACATTGTAAGTTGAACAAGTGTTGCCCTTTTTTAAGTGCTCATGTGTTTTGGTTTCTTGTTTGGTTGTTGTTTCTTTGGTTTGACCAAAAAAACAAACGCAAACAAACAGAAAGGAAAGTTGCGTGCGGAAATAAAATCGAGTTTCTTTTCAAGAAACTCTCAACTTATTTCCAACTCCACAATATGCAAAACACACAGCACAAGAGCTATGACCCAAACGTATCGCAAGTGCGCATACGAGAATGGCGTCGTATGTGTTGTAAAATAGAAAATTGTAAACGCACGTGTACATGTACGCGTGTGAATCCAACTCCGCGCCACATGTGGTGTAATGACAATCGGCGAAAATCAAATAGTCTCATTGCCGAAAAAAAGGGGAATTCGAAACTTGAAGTTTCAGAAATAAACAGATTGCACAACTGACAGTTGACGAATGGAAGATGCACAGCCTTTTTCATCCAGCAGATGGGGCATAGTCATCGCATCTCCGGCATCTCCCCACCTAGACCAAGGCGATGTCTCAGCCTCTCCCAATCGAGATTGGTTCGGCAACCACCTTTGCCTTCGGCCCAGGTCAGGTCTAACCTGCTTGCTCCATCCGTGGATCGCTGTGGCTTGGGCATCTCCCAAACCAGGTCTTGTGCTGCGGCTGAGCCTCTAGGCTGACGAAGTCACTGATGCGGTGGGAGGCAAAACCGCGTACCTCCACTCCCTTTTCACTAAGGCCATCCTTGCCGATTCGTGGTTGATGTAGCACACTGCGAGCGTTCCCCATTCCAAATGAGCTATGGAAACAGGCATCAATCCCAATTCGCGAATTGTATTGAAGGAAGATTTGGAAAGCTCAGCAGTTGAGTCCTCCGGTGCGACATCACTGAAAAAGACAGGCAACGACCTTGAGGGGACATTGTCAAGCTCCCCACACTTCCAGTTTAGCAATTGGGATTGTAAGCTCCATCTACAAGGATGTCCAGGTGTCTTCCAAGGTGTCGGCCTATTGCAACCGGAGTGGCTTCCAAAACTCTGTCTCCGAGAAGGGGAAGGCTGCCCTGAATTGACGCACCCAGGTGTTTCCTGCCTTTCCGCTTTCTTTGCATCCAACCAAGCTTCTGCCAAGATGTCGTTGATTTTGGCTGCCAGCTCTGACCTTCGTGCTTTAATGCATCCAATGGTCACTGGGTTGCCTTTGCGACCTTCCAGGTTAACCTCCAGGCCCAACAATTTAAACTTGTGGTTGAAAGGCATGTGTCTCTTTCCTCCCTTCGCAAATGTCAGGCCCAAGAGATCCAGTAAAGTTACAAAACTCCGGGAAGGGATGTAGGATGGAATGTTTGGCAGTTCTTCTCGGCCCAGCACAATGTGGTCGTCAGGCAAAACCGTCCAGCAAAGTTGAAGAGCAGCTCGAAGAACTACCAAGCCTATGAGCCAAACAGCAAGGCTTACCCTTAGGAAACCAGCCATACTCCCAACCGCCCCAAAAGGCGAGGCGTTGAAGCCCATCATACTGACAGCACCGTCCATCGGTGACCGGACAGCCATGCGAGGGTGCTTCCTTCCAGCGAATTTGTGCGGGGTCTCATGTTCGCCATCGTCAGCAATGCACAAAAACCAAACGCTTGATGACCACCAGTTCCAAAACATGTTGGGCATCTTGCCCATGAGCTCCTCCACTTGGCTTGACAGCTCTGACGCCAGTCTGACGTACTCCGTGAAGAAATCGGCTCGCTTCTTTGCAACAATGGAAGGTTCTGTAACAAAGCTGACATTTATCATTCTCTTAACTTGCGGGTCCAGTTGCTGTTCCAAGCTTCTCGGGTGACATCCCAATGTGGAATTGTCGTCGACGTTGAGAAAAACGACCGTAGCATCTTGTCGAGCAGCCTGTCGAGCAGCCTGGAGATCACCCCCTTTAACAACGTGGCGTGAGACTGGTTTGGTACCCTTAGGAAGTGTTGTCAGAAGCTTATCCGGGTCGTTGGGCTTCTGTGGGTCAGCAAAAACTTGCCAGTATGTGCCAAACTCTGCAACCCAAGGTTTGACTTTGTGTCTTCTGGGCAATGCTCCCAGTGCCAGTCTTGAAATGGGTGAAGGGTCAGGCCCTTCAGCCTGCTCGAGGAGCATGTCCAGTGCCGTCACACCCAAATGCAATGCCTCGTCACGTGGACATTGGATTTTTCTTTCACAGAGCAGTGTGGGGTGTGCCGCTTCCTCGGCCGTCGCAAGACGCACATTCCCATTTGTCATGGATTTGTGCTGGCGTTTCTTGTCACATAGGAGCGCCCGGGAGTCAAGCCCGATATCGTTCACCCACAAAGAGGTGGCTGACTCACTCAAGTCAGCAGTATCCATAAAATCCAGCAAACACCAGTGAAAAATCCAATGGAAAAGACAAGCAAATGTCTGCAATAAGAAAATGAAGTCACAAAATGGGTCCCCGGCTGAACCGCTATGTGTCCACGTTCCGCTATAGATTGTCGCCGCCGCATGTAGCTCAAAGTGCCAGACTAACGTCACTTGAGCTGGCGCTGGATGAGGACGATGCACCTGGATCAGAATGTGGACCAAAGGGAATGGCTACTCTGGGTGTTGACACTTCTCGCACTGAAATGCTACTCAAAAAGCAGCTGACGCAAGATCGACACCAGCAAACCCAAGATGATGAGTCCAGAAATGAGTGCAGACAGGTACGAATAATGGAAGCACCAAAACCCCGCCAAAACGTCCAAGCAGTTATTGTATGAACGCGTGCTCTCAGCACCACAGTGAAGTTCCGAAATCCAGCTTGCACGAAAGTTCGCGACAGCATGCACAGAACGAAATCACTTCAGGTTTACCCCTAAGAACTTGAAATGGAAAATTCGGAGATAGCAGAATCAAATCACACTCACAAAAAAAAAACGTGGTCCAGAAATGGATGCTCTCCAAGTTGAACAGAAACCTTTGCATCATGAGAAAATGAGATAAAGAAATTCTGTTGCGCTTGGATTGCCCCCCGAGTGTTGCTGCTTCGCACCTCCTCGGTTTTTCCAGTGAGAGTTGGTTGGTTGTCGCCTTAAGGCGTCTCCCCTGCCGACATAAGGTTCTCCTTTTTGGAGATGGTGGAAACATCAGGTGCATGGTGGCTTTGCCAACGCTCTGCATTGGGAGTGCACTGCTTCTGCTCTCCCACCTGAACTTTCCTCCCCCTCTAATGGATCATGAGAGGCGGTCTAGTGGGGCTGATTTGTCAACCCTTCTTTGCTTCTCGGCAAACAACCAAGGAGTGCCCTGCCTTGTGACAGCAGGCGCACAAGTGCAGGCCACGGGAGCACTTTGCCGGCTTGCCACTTGTAGACAGTTGGCAACCGTCTTTCATGTTGTAATTCCAGCATATCTGACCTGCTGCGACCTTTGTGTTGTATTGTTTCAGCTCTTCAGGACAACTCCTCTCTGCGCGGGTTTTGCGCTTGGTAGAGACCTTTGCAGCAGGCCTCACAGGACCAGCCTTCGCATTCGGCCTGGGTTTGTCAGGCGCTTCGGTCACTCTTTGGTTTGTCGGCAGCGGCAATAGCAGCATGGTTACCCGCGGGTCTGTCGCAAGTCTGGTGACGTGCTTGTCCAGCGGAATCTCGTTACCGTCCATCTTCAAGCTTCCAGAAACTTCTTGTGCAAGTAGTGTCCACAGCTCTCTATCGGCTCGGACCAGCTGATCGAGCTTGATTTGTTGGAACCCTGGATTGACAGGCCTGCTCATCAGGTTCAGCATGTAATTGGTCCAATGCTGATGCACGCTCCAGCTAAGAACGCGGCATTGGTCAAAGGCCAATCCCCTCCGCATCATGCACCATTGGTACTTGAGCTCGGAGTTCCACTCAGCCTAATGACCTCAACACTCGGTCCAACTCTGAGTTGAGAATTTTCTACCTGGACTGAGGTTTTTGAATCCTTCAGGGACATCTGCACCTCGTCGTCACGCTTGCTGCATTTGGAAGGCGCAAGCCATATGATTACCCCGCTCTCAAGCATCTGGTTTGCCAAGTCGAGCAGGGCGTGGCTTGGGTCTAACTCCCCAACCATGGAGATACCATTCAGCCGGGCAAGCTGATCATCTCTTCTCTGTTTCTTCTCTGCAAGGGGTATCTTCTTTGTCGTATCACCTTTCTCAGCTCCTTCACTGGTGACTTTCTCACGTATCGTTGAAATCACCAGTGTAGTGCTTTCAAAGTGAACGCGCCTGATTGCGCTCATCTGCCCTACACTGGGCGCAACCCCAAATACCCTTTGGGCCAAGGCCCCAAACTGATCTTCGGTCGGTGTCATTTGTGGTGTGCCCATAGTAAAGGCCATTGCACTGTGGGTCCGTATGGCTTGGCCATCTAACGCAACTCGCAGAGACCCATCTGTCGTGATCTCGTCACATCTCTGTCTGAAGGCTGCCGCGGACTCAATGAGACTCATGGCTGGACAGACGCTCAAGGTCTAGACCTATTGAAAGACACCTGCCTGAAACTGACGTCAAGTTGACTGATGAGGTCTTTGGCCGTGAAAAACTGACACATCGAATTTCTGAAAAACTTGCACATCGAGAAAGAAATCATGTCGCTGTCTTGGTCATGCCTATGCGCTCTCTCTTTCGCTGAGCACAACTCCAACGAAATTCGCAGCGCTCGCAGGACTGTGATGGTTGCGGGTCCCTTGAAGTAGATCGAGCACCCACAAATCGAAACACATGAAAATTCGAAAAAGTGATTCACTGAGCGTGCACTGACTCTCATGCTTTGGTTTCACAAGTTCCAAAAAAAAACGTCCAGTCAGCATGCCGTTTTTTCCTCACTGGTTACGTCAAAGCATTGAATGAGACATCAGCCACACGCGCCTCCGTCCAAACTCCATTGAAAAATTGAGTGTGAACTGACATGTTGGAAAATGTTTCGAGTTAAAAACACCTGCACACAAACATTACTCCTGAGGAAGGAGCCGCTCTGTCACGGTGAGTGAATACTCCCACGGTGCACACTCTCGACAAGCTTTAAACTGAATCGAGAAACTCTTGAAGCACAGTTGGTTTCGTGGGACTTGAAACAAGTGAAAACATGTTCAGTCACTGGCCCCGTTGAAGCACAAGGAAAAGTGGAGCGTCAAATTCAGGGGCTTTCCCTCGTTTCTCGTGTAAGGCCCCGGCGTTCCTGTCATATGCAAAGACCCTACTGTTCTCTACTGCCACCAGGTGCAGCGTCTTGAGTTTCCGATGCTGTCACATCGCAGAACCAGGTGGTGCAGCAGTAGGCTGAAAAACAGGTGAATGTTTGACACACTGTGGCCTTTCTTCTTCACTGGAAGTTGAATCCGATTCTGAACTTCTCTCAGCACTGGGCACTTCAAGAACCTCCGGCTCGTCCTTGATGTCTATCACGGCCTCATCTCCTGCAGGCTTTGGTGGCTGATCCAGTGGTTTGATCCTACCACTCCTAGTGTCATTCGGATCAAAAAAAAGACCTGAAGAGATGTACCTGATCAAATTCTTGAGTACCAACGAGCTAGCAGCTGCACCACCACGACTGTAAACCATGCCCATCTCGAACTTGCTGATATGTTAACCGAGCTGCAAACGCTCTGAGATGCCAATGCCACGCTTGGCAGCATATGAAAGGAATGTTGATTTCAGTGAATGGCTAGCAACGCGCCTTCCAGCTGGATCATCTTAGCCTCCAACCAATTCCCTCAGCTATGGTGCACACTCCTGCGTCTCCAATGGCCTACTGGTGGCCTGTCCCTGAAGTCCAGGTGCAGGCATGATGAGTCCCATGGGTGGCCATTCCAGTTTCATGGTATCTCGAACTTTGATCCAGGCTGAACCCCAATCCCTGCCATCTATTCCATGACATGGTGCCAACACTGGCAAAAACTGGTGACGATGCATCTGTGACTTCATTGTCTTGTGACGTCCAGTCCTCGCCTCAAGGAACTGCAACTTCCCGTGGCGATCACAGCCAGCAATCGCACTCTCCGCACGCATGAGGTCTCCCCACCGTGCTGTACAGTATGCTTCCATGAGCAGTGCACCGCAAAACAAACATACCCGCAGGTCCTCACACATGTAGAGCAGCTCACGGATGTGCCTAAGTTCACCGACCTTGAGAGGAGATGCTTGGATCCTCTCTTTTGTAAACTCACCTGAGCAGGCTCCTTTGCACATTGCACTCCTGGTCAATGGTTCCACTTCATGGACTGACTTCGTGTGAAACACAAGTTTATGGGTTGCATGTATCCTTTGAGTCTCGACTGTGGGGCATTCGCAGTTTGTTCACGGCAAAGAAAATCATGAAAATCAGCTTTACTGCACGGATAAATGCCACCCTTGTTCTCAAGGTAGTAGCACAGACGCATGATGCTGTAGCTTCCCTTCCGTGTAGTGACAGGTGACCTTCCAGCAATCAAATGTGCAAACATTCCAAACACCCCGCTAGTTACTGCCAGCTGCAACATGCTTCCACCTACACTGCAAGCTATATCACATCTGTTTACAAGCGCAAGCCAGAACTTGACAGAACTCTGAAGGTCAGCATCACGCTGTTCCTGCCATGGACTGTCCAATCTGTCCTGAACAACACCGTGATATGAAAGATCAGAAGGTACCCCAGTCTTTGCCCTTGTCGATGAAGGTTCTGAGGTACTACTGCTACCTTGCACAACTAATGTATCGACTGGTCTCTTCAATGAGATTCCAAAAGGCTTGTAAACATCAATAAGTTGCTTGTTGCCAGACATGACGCCCCAAATCCTTTGCTCCCAAATAGGTTCCAAGGTCTCCACAGGGATCGGACGCGAAGCAACTTCGACAGCTGTTGCAGTGCCAAAAATTCCAGGTTCTGGTTTTGTTTCTGCCGTTTCAGAAAAAGAACCATGAAATTCCTCACCAAATTCAGAAGACCTAGCCAAAGATGGTCCAAAAGAAACGCTCTCTTCGTACTCGGCAGCATTCCAAAAGTCTTCAACACGTTCATCTCCAAAAAGGTTGTTTGTGTTTCCGTGCATGTCTGAAGGGAAATCCAAACTCTGAGAAACATCTGCAAAACCAGTGTCACGTGACTGTCCAACATCTGTTCGTTCCTGTCTTGTGAGCAGCCTAGAATCAGCGACAACCTCGTACCCTTCCAAAGAGCTCCAGCTGAATTCTCTGTGTTTCCACCGCTACGTTTCTCAGGAGACAACGCAGAATGGACAACCATTGCTACCTAGATCTAACTACGTCCCCATCTGACAAGTCTTTTGTCAGAATTTTTGGGACGACCCGCCCTCCCTACCCTTGAGTGAAAGCGCAACACATTGTAAGTTGAACAAGTGTTGCCCTTTTTTAAGTGCTCATGTGTTTTGGTTTCTTGTTTGGTTGTTGTTTCTTTGGTTTGACCAAAAAACAAACGCAAACAAACAGAAAGGAAAGTTGCGTGCGGAAATAAAATCGAGTTTCTTTTCAAGAAACTCTCAACGTGCCACAACCTAAGGAGGCTATAGTTGGACGGTCACTCAAGTGGACACAGAGTGGCTGTCTGCTTCCACATTGCAGGAGTAAGTCCTTTGGGGGATGGAACAATTCTTCCAAGTTGACTCTCGTAGGTCCAGTGGGTTGCAGGCCCATGATGATGTAGGGTTCTACCCATTACGTTGTTTTGCTTCATTTTCGGTGGCCATACTCAAGATGACACACAAGATGTCATCGTGCATCTTATGTCTCAGAGCTGGCAGCGATTCCACTTCTCTGTGCTTTGTGGTTTTGGTTTTGTGTTTGTTTTGTGTGCTTTTTGTTTGGTTTGCTTTGTCTGTGGTTTGGTTTTCAATGGGACCGCTCAATGGACTGTGTATAGGTCCATTACCAGTGCTCGGTTGAGGCTATTGACGTTTAGACGGCTTTGCATAATAATTTACAATTCATCTTTTTGCTGCGATTGAACGCGAGTAACGACCTGGCGAGAGCCATGAAGGCGTTGGACGGAAAAAAAAGTACTTGCATGCCATGGTTCGTCAACATGGCCCACAACTCCAGTAGGTTTTTGAGGTCTCCAAAGAACACGCCGCACGCAGCAAAGGCACTAAGGATGCAACCAAATACCGGTCTCGCCAAGAACTTCCTGCGGTCCCACCACAACTCACGTCCTAACTGCTACACTGCCTGTCCACCCTGCCTGACCAGTGGCCGCTGGCTAAGATCACAATTAATCTGCACACAGCCAATGGGTCTCAAAAATGGGAAGACTTTTCTTCGCTGACGAGTACGTTAGTCAACCCGCAGTCCACTGAACAACCACCTGAAGTGCAGGCCGCCTTACGTGCAGTGAAAAACGTCCTAGCTGACCTTGAGATGCGAGTGATTGAATTTTTCTCCGAATGGGCTAGTAGCACTCCTAATGCCTGCCAGGCACGTGTTGGAAACCAGATCACCCCATCTCTCCTTCATGCTAACGAAAGACTATATACTGGTTCAAAGACTCAAAGAGCTTTACCAAGGTCTTAAGGTTGCCGCATCGTTCGATAGAACTGAATCGTACATCAAAACAATAGAAGGTCAAGTACGATGCATCACTGCCGAATTCAGACAAACTGGGGCGAATGTAGCATGGAATGTAAGCTACATCAATGTCTTCATCCCAGCCTGGATGGTTCCTCCGATGTACCATAGCCTCCGCCGTGAAGCAGAACTCCGGGGCAACAATGGGAGTCAAATCCATACGCCCAACATGGTTCGAAGATGAAACAGTAGCCAAAACAGCCGCAGAGCCCATGCATGGACTACGCCTCATCATTAAAGAGGACGCTCTCCCTCTCAGGAATCATCCTGAAGCCCTGGAAGAAGTGGCATTTTTTTTCCATCTGGTATGGCCGACCTGGAAGAAGTGGCAAAGTAGGCGATCTCGTCGCGTAGTGGTATAATGCCCGTCTCAGGACCGTGCATAGACAACTAGCCGCGGATCGGTTCCCACCGGGTACTGGGCCGCGATCGTGACGTGGTAGACGAGTAAGTCTCAAGTACCGTAGACCCGCCGAAAGGCAACGGGCTCGGGCCACAAAAAAACCTGGAAGAAGTGGCAAAGCGTGGCACTGCAATCATCCGCATACCAGCCTCAAAACCACGGTAGACGTACCTCTCCTAGGCACGGTCATTGAACAGAACGGAGACGGATGCTAGAAGTGTGTTTTTTCCGTCCAACGCCATATGGCTCTCGCCAGGTCGTTTATCAAGCCGGAAAACCAGTGTCACCCATGGAATGGTATGGCAAACAAACAAAACAAGCAAACACAAATCACGAAATAGCCGAGATCACAAAGTGCGAGCCAAGGCAACGGTCACACAGATTGCCCATAACTTGACACGATCCAAAAGCCAGGAATGATGTCAAAGTACATCTCGCCATGGCACCTGTCGCTGTTAAGCTCAGTTGGGACCGAGGAGCCAGTGATCAATT